ACAATCTTTCCCAACTTTTTACAAATTATTTATATTAGAAATTAACAGTTTAGTAACTTTATTATTTTTATAAATTTTTTACAACAAAATTTTAAAGTATAAAAAATCCTTTTGAAAAATAAATACTCAGTTCTAGTAATTTTATATAGGCTTTCATCCACATTACTTATAAATTGAACAAAAATTAAAAGATTAAAAAAATATGGATAAGTCATATCAGACTCAGCAAATTTGAAATTAGTTTAAGTATAAATTTTATATTTGTGTTATTAAATTCTATTATTTAATTATTTAAATATTTTAATTATTATTAAATTTCTATTTTTATAAAATTATTTATTTCCTAAAATAACCAATTTTTTTCAAATGGTCTTTGGCTAAATAGTAGCAAAGTCCTGTTTCTGTAGTCGGTACTTCAACTTTGCAAATGATTTGGACATCTGGAATCCAATATTGGCTATCCACTGGTGACCATATAAACGACCCTGCTAGACCATTTGGGCACATAAATTTGACAAGCACATCTTTTTCTTCTAGATTAATGTCTTCAATGACTCCTATCCACCACTTGCTCATAGATAACACAAATATAATCACCTGATTCTAAGATTACACCAATGGTTTGATTTTGAAAATTACAAGTATTTAAATTAATGTTATATACTTAACAATATTACTCTTTTTCAAATGTAAAACATTACAAATATATGTGCGAATGTTAGAATTCTAGTTCTTAAATTTAATTCATATTAAATCGAGATATATATTCTTTAATAAAAAAAGTCAAAAAGTTGTGATAACTTTAAAAAAATGATTCCGTTTTACAAAAACATCTAGAAGACATGGTTGAAAAAAAATGTTGTTAGTTTTAAATTCTAAAATCAGGTTTCTAAAAACAGTTAGATATGCTCGAGTTAAGTTGTGTGATTGTGTTTAAAAATGCTTGATTGATTTGGAAGAAGATTTAAATTTTGTTCTGTAGAAATAAATTTATTATCTGGTATTATTGGTACATTACAAACAATCAAAGTAACTATTAAAACATTTTGTTATATCTATGTTAAGTTATTATCAATCGATTTCAAATTAAAATTTATGTTGCACAAACTATCAAAGAAAAGTCTAGCATTAGGTGTAGAAATGAAGTATATGTTAATTCTTGAGATAAAAAAGAGTATATTCTGATGTTCTGAATTATGTTTACAATTGACTGCAAGAGCTAAACGCTGATGATTATGTTTTATTTACCAACACTGCAAAGAGTTTTATTTCAAAGTTTGTTATCCAACTTGCGCAGCAGTTTAAACAAAATAAAGAAAAGTTTAGTAAATCATGAAACAGATAAAAAAAAAACATTATTAAAAATGACTGTTGTGTAGGTATGACACCACCAACAACTATCGTATCATTAAAAAACAAACTGCATAATGATTAGCAAAAATTTCTCACACTTTAAACATTACCAAAACTGCACCTATACTGTAAGAATAAAAAAAAAATGGTTTACAAAGATTGCATTGGTTTAATGAACAAAAAATATACAAGCCATATATTTCTAATGAGATGTCAACATCACTATGATGTTCAACTGTTACTTGTCTGTTCAGTAAAATATTGCAAAATTTCGATGCCAGCCTTAGAACTTGAGGCATTGCAATTGTTGGTGTATTTTACCTCGATCTGTAGCATTTTGTAAGGAACTGTAAAGAACACTGTGGGAAGTAGCCAGTTCAAGAAACTGATTCACATCCTTAAGAAAAGATTTGTACTTCTCAAATATATTATTTCGTTTCCTTGAGTTTCCGTATAGAAAAGTCTTTATTTCTGCACATCACCTGGCTTGTTTTCTGTTCCAAAAAGGTTAACAGAAACAACAGAAAATTTTTCATAACCAGGTTTGTTTCCTGAGATCCATAATAAATATTTATTGCCATGGGAGAACACTAAATCAAATGTGTTGCAACTCCTTTGTTTATTTCTTGCATATTGGTCGCACCATCAAAAGACATACCTACACACTTTTGAATATCTGCGTTATTTGATTTGAGTTCATCTTTGATTTTTTCACTCATTCCTTCACCAGTAGTTGTTTAACTTTCAACCATTGAAATCAGATGTTCCTTTACAACAGCCTCTTCTGCAGTAAACTAGCATATCATAATACAATAGAAGTTTTCTTGCATAGTATAATATTGTGGTTCCATCAGCTAATAGTGAAAAGAATACTTAACTATTTACCTCTTCTGAAATATCCTTCTTGACCATCTGTGTTATAGTATGAATTAGCTTGTTTTGTGGATATTTAGAAAGAGAGTAATTCTAGCACCCCTTCCAGAAGATTGTTTTTGAGTACTGCGAAAAGTTTTTCATTCAGTACCTCATCATACTGACTGAGTAAATTTAACAAATTTAGAAATTTACCTGCACCATATTGAATGACTTCACCATATTGAATGACTTTTAAAAATTGGCTTCCTCATTTCCACGTAGTAAAACACTC